TTAAAAAAAAAAAAAAAAAAAAAAAAAGTAAGTAAAATGCTTTTAGTTTCAGATATTGGGAAAAGCCACAACTTAGAGGAAGAATTCTGAACTTTTGATTCAAAATGACCGTAAAACTAAATGTTAAGCTTCATCAATAAAAGTTTCTGTCTTCATCGTCATCATACTCGAAGCAAACAAAGCATTCTTTAGAAAACTAACTTTGCAATTTGGTTCCGAAATGCTATTGTGACTTTTCAATAACCTAAATTTGTCTTGAAAGAATGTCAAAGACTGGTGTTGCGTGGCAGATTATAAATGGAAAACATAAAGCCATGTACCAGAAAATCAGGCGTCAGAAATGAGGTTACTGCTGGCTATTAAATGAATAAAATTTCTGCAAATAGTAAGTTGTTATATATACATCACGTAATCAATCTGCATTCGGCGGTAGATGACCAGTTATTTGATAGCGATCTGAATTGGCAACGGCAGGAACCTTTTGATAATTTATCGCGTATAAGGTTTATCTATTTTTAGCTGCATCTTTTGAATTGTGTCTTAGATGGGTTTCCGGTAATTTGTCACGTTTAAATTACTGAGGATGCCATTGCAATGTTCTTGTGCTAACCAGTACTTCACTTTCCCGATGTCATTTATATTCGTTTGGAAGGTAGCCCTCCAGAGCAATTTCGCACTGGAATAGCGCCTGCGTAAATGCTGATACTGGATCATTTCATTTTTTTTTTGTTGGAGTTTTTTTTTATTACATTGATTTTCTAGGAAGTTAACCTTTTCTGAGTTTGACGAGATTAAATTTAAAGTTTCAAAGTGGTACCAGAAAGCCGGGCTTTCCATATAGTAAGCCGCTTCATTCACCTTTTAACAGTTCGACTGTCCCACTATCGATATTGAATAAATCTTGAAGTTATTTGACAGCCGTCAAGTTTTCGTGCCACTCGGAGACGGATTCGTAACAAGCAAATGAATCTGCAGTTATCAATCAAAATGAGAATTCAGTTTTTCGTTTGATTTATCCAGACTTCACTTTTGAATATGGTATGTTGTTGTAGTTAATTAGCACACTTGTTTTGTACTGTAGATGTCACAGAGATTTACATGCAGTTACAAAAAATTTAAAGTGGAATCCACAAGTGATCGATCATACTGTTCTCTAAACTCAAGAAATATTTATAAAGTAAATGAGCTAAAAAAGTCAACTATTGACTTCCTCAGAATCAGAAGTATCTTGACCGGAATTTTAACCATAAATCATTTTTTTACTTTATTTTGTGGATATCGATCTTGTGTTATGAGTAGTTTTGTTCTATTGTTCATCAAAGCTTTATCTTTTTTTTAGATTTATGAGAGGTTTATTTTGCAGCCTTCGTTAGTGAATCGTGTGTTTATAGTGTAGAGTTTGAAAGTAGATGTGAATAATCTAGGTGACGACTACAGAGGATTAGATGTACAATTAAAATTATAGATTTACAGAATTTTTCTGAAATTCTTAGTTTCTTCAAATTTAATCGACAGCTACCTTATTTGGTAACAGGAGTATCTTTCCGGCCCTGTGCTGTGACTAATGAATATACATATTGAAAGACAGCATTTGGTTACTATGTTGCCATCATGGAGGACAACAGACGGGATAATAAGGATCTGCAGAACTGAAGGCGAACATGAATAAAGTTCGGAACAATAGATTGTAACTAACTCGTTACTGATTTTTCAAGTGACAAAAATTTAGTTTTCCAGCGTTTACGAATTTGTTGGAACTTCTTTCATTTATTTTTGATGGATGGCTACTCAACAGAAGACAAGCGACGAATTTTACAACAGGAAATTCAGGTCTTTGCTGAAACAGTTAACCCTAAAGTTAAACCAAAATTCACTGCTGAACTGCAAAACTCGCTTATTGAAAGTCTTCTGGATGGAACAGTTTTCGCAATAGTTGATTCCCTTAAGGATCTTCAGAGGATGCGTGAAACGTATGTACCTCCCGTCATTGCAGTATAAATTCCTTCCTTCTAAAAGTACAATTCGTCACCGTACTTTTGCAGAGGTTTCTGGCGGGATGAGTGGTAATTCATTTTAGCTTTTACTATTAATGTTTTAATGGACTGGCAAGGTTTAGACAACTTTACGACAACCGTCAACAAAGACTGGTGGAGTTGCAGACTGTACCAGACTTAGAAGAGCAGATGCGGCTGATAGATGTAAATATAGTGCAAGAGCTTGATAAGGTGGTTTGTCGATTTTTTTCACATGTATAGGCTTTTTGCAAGCTATGATCTGCTGCGCCTTCCCGAAAGCAAAATTTTGCCATTTTGTCTCATTTACTAGTGGAAGTTTGAAAAGTGTAGTTTTCTTGCTCTTAAAGTTGACATCAGTGACAAATAAAAAAATGTCACTTCTCCTTGAAATGTTTAAGTTTCAGATTGTTGCCGATCAACAAAATACCCTTTCTCGTGCGGGGGTGCCTAATTTTCGTGTAACAAAAAATGAAAACGAAATAGTCCTACAAATGGAAATTATTAGGTTTATAACGACAGTCATTAACAAGCATCTTTGACTTAGAGGACTCTCACGACTACTTCCTCCCTTTTGCGATCTCACGGAGTTGCCTAATCGAGTTCCCCTCCGTTGATTACTTGACTTTCGGGCCTCAATTTAGCAGTTCACTTGTGTAAATTTAAAGGATATTTCAAGCATGAATATAAATATTTCTCTTTGTATGTTTCGAGGCGATAGTCTTATAAAAAAAACTGTTTATTTACGACATGAATAGAACTGGGGAGAAGATTGGCAGATATTAAGCGATGCAAAAATAGTTTTTACGAGATTATCAGTTTTTTCACATCATTGGTTTTAAAAAACCAGGGGGAAAGAGACGGACCGACCTTTCACCCAAGAGGTAGTGGAGAATTGTTTTGGTTGGTCTGGTTTTTCTTCTCCGATCAAGTACGGTAAGCTGAAAAAGAATGATTATCTTTTTGCGCAAACGTATGAGTTGCCGTGCCAGCAGAGCAACTGCTTGTTTGTTGCTTAAATTTTGGGGTTGTGAAGGGTATCGTTCCGCCAATAAAACATTGAAAAGACAATGACGAATGCCTAGCTTTTACTTGCCTGACCAGTGACGTCCTTGGCGAAGCCTGTACCGATACGTCTCGTCCGCAGAACGTAGTCGCTAGTTCTTTCAAATAACAAAGATGAATCACATCTTATAGGGAATAAGTACACCTTGAAAGTTTTTTTAATAGTTTTAGGAAAATTATACTTCACTGCTTTAAGTGGCAAGCTTTACTTGGGACCGGCATCGATACCGACGAGTTAGACGTCAGGTAACAGATATAAAACCAGCATCTTGCGAGTATAAGATCAATACCATTATACAATTCGGGACCAATCGCAAAACTGAGTTATGTAGCCGTCGACAATACCTAACCATATCTGGCGAACCATCATTCACTTCACACAGTAATGTCATGTTATCAATTATAATGTAAACATCTCTACCACCGTTTACTTTTACCATAATTTCCTAGAAATGAAACACGATTTTTCTTATTTGCTGCTGGCACACGTTTAACTATTTGAAACCAAGCAGTAATACATGAAGGGTTTTTGTCTCTGTGCGGTTTTTTCAATCTGTGGTACCATGCAGTCTCTCAAAAGAATGGTTTTGAAAAATACTGCTGTACCTCCTTTAACTTCAAATTGATGGAGCTCCCAACTGCGTCCAGTTCGACACCCAAAAAATTGCTCACTGGTATGAAATGGACCGCGTCAGACAATCTTACCAACATCTTTCCAGCAATCAGCCTGCAGATAACCATTTCTGGAGTTTGCCGACAATGCGTCAAATGAAAACTAATTTTATGGCTTCTCTAACTAATATTACAAGTAAACGCAGTAAAGTCTCACAACAGAGTAAACTTGAGCCGATGTGCGGCACTTTTGCTCACCTGTAATTTTTCTCACTTCCCGATGCGGTCACAACAAACACTTGACAGTTTTTTGAAATTCCTTGAGCGATAAAGTGAAGCACGAGAAATACGTTGGAGGACGACACCTCACTTTCAACAACTATTACACTTGAAGCAGACACATCGACTACCTTCTCAAGCATGGGGAGCATCTACACCTCAAAAGGTACACCAACAAAATTTAACTTTTCACAAAAGCCAGTGCAAAGCCTCACCACCAGAGAAACCAACGAGTTGCTCTCCCCTTCACCCCGTTTTGATCTAGGAGATCATCGCAATTAGTTGTTTCAATGTTCAATGCTTAAAATTTTTATCTTGAAAGCAAATAAATAACTGCTACTTTATTGTTTTTCACATTTTTCAAGATCAACAGTACTTCGGAAAGAAGCTACATATCAACAACAGAAGAGGAAGTCTCCAGACTCATATTTAACAACAAATTATTTATTCCGCTTAGAAAACAACAAAATAAACTTCTTAACATTAGCAAATACAATCAAAGTCTCAGTGGTAACCGTAAGACTCGATAATTTTTTGGAAGGGTTCGGCCTTTTTCGCCGCAGCCTCCAGTGCTTTTGCTTCTAATTTTGACATCGCCTTCCTTTTTTCATAAAACGCAACGCCTCTCACTTTCCTTTTCGCTTCGAGTTTAGCAACAACATCCCTATACTGCCAACCAACTTCATGTGACAATCGTCCAACTATAAAGACAAATTAAGCAAATACTCAGATGACCTCTCCTACAGAGCAAGAAGCAGAAAGATAACCGTAAAGTCGGAAAAAATATTTTTGTTTTCACCCTCAGATGTGCCGATCCCACTATTTGTTCTCCATTCAAACTCTGATTTAAAAAAATTCGCTTTCAAAGTTATTGAAAATAACTGGTAATCCGTTGAAAACAACTATAACATGCCACCCTTCATCCAGCCTAATCACTACGTGTACTCCGAAATCACACACGTAACCATGCAAAGTAAAAAAGTGGGGTATAGCCTAACTGCAATTAAAGTTTATCATTTTTTAAATCTTTAAATGCTCAAGTAGCATAATCAGACATATCCGGAACAAATTTCAAAAATCTACCAACCTGTACAGTATTTTCGTCGCGGCTTAAGTGCCAAGTACCTTAATGCGCTTGGAACACACATTCGTTTAGTTCGATCATAGGGTTGAGGGACGCCATCTCTGCACTTTAATCTTCGCAGTGCTAGCGCGCCTCTATGAGTCTTATGTGGCAACATCCCACGCACTGTCCTCCAAAAAATTTTGCTCGGTGCACGAAGATGGAATGGCCCTCTGGCCGGTTTTACATTGCATCTTTTACGCAGAAAGCTCAGGTACTTCAGCTTTGCCCGGTGGAAGTTACCGGAAATCATAATTTCCTCGCATCTCACTACCACAATTTTTTGTCCCCATAGCAGCTGTTTTGCTACTATCGATGCTAATCTGCCCAATAAATGGCCTTTGCCATCAATGACTATCGGTTTGTCAATCAGTCCCATTTTACCCTAAAAAGCAGCTTCAAACAATCGGTACCGATAAGACGGTTAAATTAGCAACTGATACCGTTATAAGCCTCAAAGATGATAAAAATGAGAAACTTGTGCTTCAAACATTTAATATCCTGCGTGTCAAAGTAAGGACGATTTTATACCAAAATGTCCGTCTACTGTTCCAAAATTACCATTTCTCCCACACTACTGCTCAAAAATGTTGAACAACCTCGCATCGAAATCCAATCTATCAACTGCAAAACGGAACTTCCGAAACACCTAACACGCCAATTAAAGCCTCAGGAATGAATTCTTTTCATTATTGTACGAGCACTCCTTTAGCTTTCTTGTTTTTAAAATAGATGTAAAGAAGTTCCAGAAGGTTTGAGAAAAGAGCCTAGACGTAACCTACCAACGAGAAAGTTATCATGCGTACTCATCATCAACGAAAGCACCACAAAAGTCAAACGAAACCAATGCCACAAATTATCACATAACTTTAAACTTCCAAAGTCCACATGATTCTTCCGTTACCAGCTACAGCAAGACGGGCAAGACGTATCTTACGAAAAATGTGATAAAATCATAAAACATCTACATGAATAGAAATAAAATAAGACGGAATCAGAAGTAAAGCTGAAATTATACTGAACGCATATACTACGCAAAAAAACTAGATGACAGGCAACATACAATCAAAGTATTCCCAAGGCGATCCACTGAAAGCCTAAACGAAGCTTGCCAATAACTTACAGTGATGAATTTTAAAAATTCCTGTCGATGGTTAATGAACTGACTGGTACAGCTACATTTTCTTACTAACGTTTTCTGGACGTGTTTCCATTTCAAAATCGATTTCTTGATCCGCTATAGCGGAAAACGCTTTTCTTGGCTAAACTCCAACACTTCGCTATTCAGTGGTTTGCTTTTTGAAACAGTGTTGAATTTGAGACATCCAGACTTTTCCTGGAAATTTTTTTTTTTGTATTGCTTCCACTCGGTTCAAACATCTAACACTTTTTTGCTTTCCTTGGTAGCGACTAAGAATGTTTTTTTCTGGATAAATAATGTTACAATTAAACACTGCCGTTATCGTTTTTGATGACATTTTAGAGTGCAGAAGAAAGAGAAAAAATTTTTATGGAGATTCTAACTCTCCTGGCTTTGAACGAGGCTTATACAGAAAGTTTAGAGAATTTAATACGTAACGTTCAGTACGCCATTGCCGAAAACAAAAAAAGACAGGTTTCTAACTAATTGCTGTGAAAAGTCTTTATAAACTATATCATTTTGTTACAACTTCAGCATTATGATTATGACCTGGGAAACCTTCAAAGTTTTATCTCTATTGTAGGAAGCAATCAATGCGGTATTAGGAAAAGCTGGTTCTGCAGGAGACTTTTATGGAAATAAAAAGAAAGTTCCAGTAAATCAGTTCTACCCTCCTTATTTTCGGGATCGTTTCGGAATGGTAAAATTGTTGTGTATTTGCGCAGTATATCTGTTTTTAAATTTCAGTTTCTTTCACCTTTTCAGAGCTTTTGTTGAGTTGACAATTTTTTAAAAATGTTCCCACCAGCTGCATTTCAATCCAGCTCTTGGTGGCTGTTTTCACTTTTCTAATTAAAATCTAGGTTCCTCCTGCGAACATTGAAACTCAACGGAAACTTCATTCAGGCGACTACGATCCGTTGGTCAAGCCAGCACGAAAATGTTTGTTATAGCTATGATTCTTCTCTTCTGGTGGACATTTGCTGCCTTACAATATTTCCATTACTCTAGGTAAAAAAATGGGGTTTTAAAAGAGAAGTATGCAATCAAAAAGTTAGTTTTTCCTACAGCTATCTTTAAGGGTGAGGTTCGTGAAAAACTGGCCTGTTTATTCGCTTGCTAAAATATTTTTTTTGTTTGACCCTACAGAGTTTACAGTCATCTTTTACGATGTCACTTATAAAAGATACAAGAAGATTAGATTTTTTGAGAAAGGCCTTCGTGATCCCAACAAGGCCTAGGAATTTTTTAATCAGCTATTTTTTTCTTATGGCTTTCTCGTCGAAAGCTGAAAATTGTTTTTTTTTTTTTTTTTTTTTTTTCAAGATGAACTGGAGAAGTCTATTAGTCTGTGTATTGGGTTCTAATTTCTGTATGTTGTTAGGGTTGCCTAAGGATCTAGAGAGGTTACGACATGCAGTGAAGCGGGAAGTTGCTGAGGAACGATGCGCAGCGGAAAAGAAGAGGTAAGCCTCAGTCTTTTAATAATGTTTTATACGCCCAGTACGAGGAGTATTCGGAGAGAAGTCGCTGCATTTAAAAATACTCGAGAAATAAATTTTCTGGAATACCATTTCATTCTAGGCGGGCAGAGGTACAAGAAATGTTAAAAAGAAGTGGGCAAGAAACTAGTGAAGAGGAACGTACAGGATACATTTCGGAAATCGAGTCGCTTACTCGTTTCATAGAATACACTAGGTATCAATTTTTCTCGCAAGTAAAAAAAAAATTATTTTACCCTTTTAACTTTGTTGCTCTCTACTTTGGGTTGCTTTAGGAATCTTTCAGAAGAAGAAATTTTTGGGTCGGAATACGACTACGCTAAAGTTGATTGGACAAAAATCGCCACTTTTGATGTATATCTTATCACTTTTTAGCTTTTGTTGAGCCGTTATGACTGGTTCTTATTCTGTTTGTGACCAAGTTAAATTTTTCACCCTCTACTATTTCATTTGGAGTAATTATATGTTCTTTATACAGTTCATGGATACAAGAAACGCATCGCAGCTGCGTCTGAAATGGATTAATGAACAGTCTCCGCGATGGTCTAAGGCAAAATGGACTACGGATGAATTAGCGAAACTGCGCGAATTGGCTACTGGACCTTGGGTTCGGTGGGAGGTAGTGGCTAGGCGTCTTGGTACAGCTAGAACACCTTTCCAGTGTTTTAAGAAGTATAAAGTTGAATTTGACAAGGAATTGAAGACGTAAGATTTGTTTTGGAAACATTATTTTCAAAAGTTATTGTTATCGTTGGTAATTTTGTTTTATCGAACCTGTTCCTGTTGTCTCTCTTGTCTTAGTAGGCATGATTACATATAAAATATTTCGAGTTTGCCTCAGCAAGGATTTTTTTAACGTCATCACAAGTTTTTATCAATATTTCATTTGACGCTATCGTTTTATCATTCTGTTGTTTATCAAGTTCTAGGCAGTGGACAAGAGAGGAAGACACTGCTCTTATAACGTTATGTCATTCAATGCGGACAAATGGAAAAATCCCATGGGAGAAAGGTATACTACATCGTCTGTGGTTTATTAGCCTAGAGTTTTGGTAGCTCTTTCGTAGGAAGAAGGCGGTCGTGACAGATTTAGTGTAATGGAGTGTAAAAATGTTTCTTAGTCGAATCGGTATAGCCGCTAGTCTGATCATTTTTATGCGTCTTTTGTAGTTTATAACTATATGGAGGGACGAAGTCGGCAGCAGTGTAAGGTGCGTTATGCAAGGACGCTAGATGCTGAGCTGAGACATGGAAGGTGGAGCGAAGAAGAAGACATTGTTAGTTTAATAAAGTTTCCAAAGTGTATGCTATTACTGTAGAATTTTGATTAACGCTACCGTTTGTAATGTTTTTAGTTATTGAAATGTGCTATCGGTCGTTTTGGGAAGAACTGGCAGCAAGTAGCCTCTTGCGTGCCGGGAAGAAGCGACGCTCAGTGCAGAGACAGGTTTTGTAAACTTGCCAGTAGAAATTGCTTTTAAAAATCTGTTTGACTTCGTTGATTGTTCGTTTTTGGGAAACGAGTTATTGCATTTGATGCTGGAAATTTTCCTGACAGTGTCACAGGCCTCAGTTGTTCATTGAACGTACTTTTTAGATGGGTCAATATTCTAGATGAGAAGGTAAAAGATTCTCCTTGGACACTAGAGGAGGACGAGAAGCTTCTGAAAGGTGTCAGAGAAATTGGAAAAGGTTTGCATTGTCTAGATCT